CTGGGATTTGCTTTCTGTGCTCCCTCTGAGTTTTAGTGATGGGTACAGGTGGTGGATCTTGCAAACAGCTCCAAAACCAGTTTGGTATACCAAAGATTAAAGGAATAAGCTTTGATCCCAAAACAACCCCAAACTCTTTCCAGGGAATGTTTACACCTCCCAGATATATTTGGTGCTGTGTCTGCAGTTGTGTTTGGGGGCTTTTTTCCATATTAGGTTCTTCCACCCTAGAACTGGCTGTCTTTTTTCAAAAAATGGGTCTCTACTCCCTTTTCCAAGGACAGGCACAAGCAGAAGCTCCATGTGGAATTAGTTTTCCCATCTGCCTTTTCCCAGCCTCTCTCATCTCTTTCCCAGGAAATGACCTCAGAGGAGCAAGAGATAATCAAAGACCTGGACAAATGTGACTTTGGGGAGATCCACAAATATTTTGTGGACAAAAATGAGGCTCGTAAAGCACTTCCCAAGGAGGAGAAGCAGGTGAGGACTGGTTCCTATGACACGTTTTGGGAATTTTGTCTTCCTGGTGTTGTGCTCTGAGCTTGGACTTCTTTAACTCAGCTCTGTCTCCATGGCCATCGCCCCTCTCTTCCTGAATTTTATCAGCAGATCTGCACATTCCGTGGCTTTGTAGGGTACCAGTCATCCTTGGACCATGTTTTGGAGTCTTTCCCTGTCCAGAGGATTGTGGATTTTGCCAAGGGAATGATGGCACTAAGACTTCTTGGTTGGAATGTTAACGCTCCTTTCCAGTCCAGACCATTCTGATTTGTTTTTTTGGTGGTGTCCTGGTTTCAGAAGCTGAAGGAGGAAGCGGATAAGATCCAGGAGGAATACGGGTACTGCATCCTGGATGGGCACCGGGAGAAGATTGGCAACTTCAAAACTGAACCTCCAGGGCTCTTCCGTGGTCGTGGGGAGCACCCCAAAATGGGGATGCTGAAGAAGAGGATCATGCCAGAAGATGTCATCATCAACTGCAGCAAGTGGGTTGTCCTTGGAAATGCTGAGCTCCTGGGCTTCCCTTGGGACTGGGGGGAGCTGGGCAGTTCCTCTGCCCAGAGCTGGGGTCTTTCCACCCTCTAAAATCCATTTTCCACACCCTGAGAGTGTTTTTCCCCCTGAGTTTTGTGAGCTGGAGTGGTCTTAGCCACCCATTTGAAGACCTTGATTCAGAACATTCCCCACCAGTCCAGCAAGCTTTCCTGTTGTTCCCAGCATCCAAACAATAAACACCTGATTGTGGGAAGGGTCAGGAGCAGCTGAGGGAGCTGGAGGGGCTCAGCCTGGAGAAAAGGAGGTTGGGAGGGACCTTCTAAAACTCCCTGACAGGAAGGTGGAGCCACATAGGGCTTGGCTTCTTCTTCCAGAAAAAAAATGATAGGAGAAGAGGAAATGTTCTCAAATTGTGGGAGAGGAAGTTTAGGTTGGATATTAGGGAAAACATCTCCACAGAAAGGGTTTTTGGGCACTGGAAGGGGCTGCCCAGGGCAGTGGTGCAGTCACCAGCCCTGCAGGGGTGTGAAAGCTGTGTAGATGTGGCACTTGGGGACATGGTTTGGTGCTCCTGGCAGTGCCGGTTCGTGGTTGGACTCGATCTTGGAGGGGTTTTCCAACTTTAATGATTCCATGTTGTGGAGTAATTCTAGGTGGATTCCATGCTTTCTCAGTCTTTGGCTCACTGGAAACTTCATGGTCTGAGGGCTCTAATCGTGCTTTTCCCACAGGGATTCCAAGATTCCCGAGCCCCCAGAAGGCCACAAGTGGAAGGAGGTGCGCTTTGACAACACGGTCACCTGGCTGGCCTCGTGGACAGAGAACATCCAGAACACCTTGAAGTACATCATGCTGAATCCCAGCTCCAAGCTGAAGGTTGGAATAATGCCCTTTGTTAGGTGAACAAAATCTGGGGAAGCTAGGATGTGGAGAATCAAATTTTTTTTTTTTTTCTGGCTCTCTTAAAAGTGGATAAACAAAATGAAGGAAAGGGCAGATGATTGTGAAGCATCAAACTTATTCCAAGGAATGAGTTGCTCCTGGCTGAGTGATCCTGGTCCCATGCTGCTCATGTGTGTCCAGGGAAGGCTGTTGAAAGCTGGATGGGGGCTGAAAGGATCCACAGGGACCAGAGTTGGGGTTAATTTATACCAGGAAGTGGAGGGTGGGAGGAGATGAGATTGAACTCTGTGGGAAGAGAAAGGGGATTTAAGGCTGTTTCCAAGGGCTCAGGGAAAGTGGGAATGCTGTCCAGGTGTTCACAGCTGAGGAAGTGTCAGTCCACTCTGGTGTCCAAGGAGCCACCTTTGGCCATGGCTTGACTGCTTGGTCTTTGCCACGCTCTGCCTGGTGGAGAACACCCTGACTTGGCCAGGATTCAGATCCAGCACGGCCAGCAGAGGGCACAGAAACCCTGGATGAGCTGTTTCTTTTCCAGTTTATTCCCTTCATGGTTTTTTTTCCAAGAAAACAGTGGGGTTTTGTGGGAATCTACCAAATCAGAGGGGTTTGGGAAAGCTGCAAAAGGCAGGCCTCAGAGACAGCAGAACTGTGATTAGAGCTAAGCAGTAGCCATGAGATAGGTCAGCAGAAAAATTATTTAAAAAGTAGAAAAGCAAGGACAAGTAGAACAATGGTCTGTGTATTAATGCTTGTCTAGAATAAATCCCTAAGCTAAAGAAAAGTATATCTAGCAAGATATTAGGAAGTTTGAAGCTTAAAAATGGAGCTCTGTGCATTGTGTTTTAAGGCTTACAAGCAGGTATTGTATTTGAAATAAGCAGGCATTGTTTTAACCAAAGGCACGTGTGCTTATAGTGGTTGGATGGAACTACTGTCAGTGTGTTTTTGCTTTGTGTGATTGGTCAAAAAACTTATAAAGTGAGTTGTAACATTAAGTTCTTTGTCTGCTGCCTGGGATGTGAGCTGATGGCATCTTCCCATTGTCATAACCATGTAATGAGGCTGATGCTGAAAAATAAAACAGCTCAAGGTGTGTTCCACAGCAGTCCTGTCCTGTTCATGATTTGTACATAGACCCCCAGCCAGTGATAGGGTTTGAGCAGGATTTAGATGCTGGAGGTGTTTCTAGAGCAGGACTTGACTGGTAGGAGTGGAATAAAGATGGGGCACTGGATGGAAAATATCCTGGTTTCCATTGCAGGGGGAGAAGGACTGGCAGAAATACGAGGTCGCTCGGCGCCTGAAGGATGTTGTCCACACAATCCGGGCTCAGTACAGAAAAGACTGGAAATCCAAGGAGATAAAGAAGAGGCAAAGAGCAGTGGCCCTCTACTTCATTGATAAGGTATCCACAGCCTCACCCCAGGTCCTCCATCCATGTGGAAATTGGGAATTCACTTCCCCGATCCACCCCACTGTGTAGTTTTTTGTGTTTGCTGGTTCTGCCACCCAGGGTGGCTCCACATGAGGAATCTGGAGATGATTATGGAATCCTGGAATGGTTTGATTGGATGGGACCTTCAAGATCATTTTGATCTTGATCATTTGAAGGTTGGACCTTCAAGATCATCTCATTCCAATCCCCTGCCATGGAAAGGGACACCTTCCACTTGACCAGGTGGCTCCAAGCCCCATCCAGCCTGGATTTGAATATTTCTAGAGGCGTGGAAAATGAAAATTGTCCCTAGTGGAAGGTGTCCACTAGGAAGGTTGGAATTTGGTGATCCTGAAGGTCCCTTCCAAATCATTCTATGACTCTATAGATGGTGGTGTTCCATCTCCTTTAGTCCCGATCCACTTTATCAACCTGGCAAAGGGGAATTGAGGTGGAATAGCACGGGATGGATGACTCCTTACTTTCTTTCCAGCTGGCCCTGCGAGCTGGGAATGAGAAGGAGGAAGGGGAGACTGCGGACACGGTCGGCTGCTGCTCCCTGCGCGTGGAGCACATCCAGCTGCACCCCCAGCTGGATGGGCAGGAGCACGTGGTGGAGTTTGACTTCCTCGGGAAAGACTCCATCCGTTACTACAACAAAGTGTCCGTGGAGAAGCCGGTGAGTGGGGCAGGAGTAGAGGGAGTGCTTGGTTGTCTGGGTTCCCTCAGTGTTTATCAGTCCCAAGTTTTCAGCCAAAACCTGTTACCAAGATGTGCTTTAACCCTGGAGAACGGGAGGAATTTTGGGATAGAACTTCCAAGGTTGTTCTACTTCATGAGGGAGAAGTTCAACCTCTTGCTGGAGCACCCTCAGATGCCTTGTGCATGTAGGATTTGAAATGTCTCCATTTATATTAAATAGTTTTCCTTTAGATTTTAATGGTGTTTGTGGAGAAATTGGAATGTCGGAGATGGGAAAGATGGGGGGGGACACCCAGTGGCACCTTGAAGTTGAGAAGGCTGTTGGGATGTGCCAACATGAGGGTGAATCAGAGTCCTTCTGGAGGAGGAGAGAGATGAGGGAGATGTCTGGCAGCAATTCATTCCTTGGCCATGACCAGGGCTGTCCTTCCCCCCTCCTCAGGTGTTCAAGAACCTGCAGCTCTTCATGAAGAACAAGGACCCCAGCGATGACCTCTTTGAGCACCTCAATGTGAGTTGTCACCTCAGAGCTTTTCAGACAGTACTGGTGACCCTGAAGGAGGAGAAGCCAAGCCATGACACCCTTGGCCACCTTTGGTGGTCATCCCTTTGCCTTATTTTATCTCTCTGATCTCTAGGGACACCGCTGTCACTGTTTGGACATCTTTTGAGGTTTTCCAGCCTCTTTTTGCACTGCTTCCATGTGTCCCTGCTGAGGAGCTGGATTTCTGCTCCTTCCCTCCTCTGACTCACCCACTTGGGCTTTTTTTTTAGCCTAGGAAGGTCTGCCCACATTTTGGGGAATTACTGGAGGTACCAGACCTCAGCTTTTTGTTGCTTTTGCACCTCATTAGGGCTCCACAGAAGTGGGAGAGGTTGCTGGAGGGATGTGCTGCCTTCCCTCCTGGAAAAACCTCCCTCTTCTTCCTCAGGATGGGATGTGGGATTGATGAGCAGCTCCATGTTCTCTGTAGAACAGGGATGTGATATTGGATGTGAGGTCAGGAATGATTGATTGGAAAAGACCTCTAAGATTATCAAATCCAGGCATTAACCCATCACTGCCAGGTCCAACACTAAACCATGTCCCCAAGTGCCAACATGTGTCCTCTTGGACACAGGTGGGCAGAAATTGTTGACTTCCAGAGAGATTTTTTTGTGGATTTAGATGGAATTTTTGGCCAGTTTTGGGTCAATGATGACCTGACCCCACAAGTAGCTCTACAAACTGCAGGATTTAATTTTTTGTTAATGCCTAATTTTGGTTGCTTAAGCAAAAAGCAACTAAAATCTTTAAAAAGACAGTTGTCCTGGCTTCTGCTTTTTCTGTTGCTTCATGGAATCATGGAGTGGTTTGGGTTGGAAGGGGTCCTGAAGACTGTCAAGTTCCAAATCCTCACTATGGGCAGGGACACCTTCCATTATCCCAGGTTGCTCCAAACTCCATCCAACCTGGCCTTGAACAATTCCAGGGATGGAGCAACCACAGCTTCTATGGGCATTCCATTCCAGGGCCTCACCAGCCTCACAGGGAAGAATTCCTTCCCAATATCCTGTCAAACCCTTTTGTCATTTTGAAGCCATTCCTCCTTGTCGTACCACTAGAATTCCTAATGGTGAATTTCCCTACACTTTTCCCTGTTTTTCCCTCCTCCAGACAACCTTCCTGAACAAACACCTCCAGGACCTCATGGATGGTTTGACGGCCAAAGTCTTCAGGACCTACAACGCTTCCATCACCCTGCAGGAGCAGCTCAAGGCCCTCACCAACCGTGAGTTCCAGTGGCTGTGGTGTCTCCAGAGCATGGCTGGGACCAAAGGGCTCAGGAATGTCCATCCATTGCCTTGGGATCCCTAAAACTGCCCATGTCCCACCTGGGCAGGTGAGGCTCCACATAGTGGGGTGGGAGTGACATGTGGGGGTGAGCAGCAAGTTGGGGATGTTGGTAAGTGAGAATTGGTGAACTCGGGGATACTCTGACTAACTGAGGGCCAGGATAGGGATATTTTCCCTCTTTTCCTTGTGTTGCTGGTTGGCTGCACTGTTTCTGCCTCCTTGGGTAGGTGAGGGATGAGTCACGGCACCAGATTGTGATGTTCAATTGTCCTTCCCCAATTCCCACAGCCATTATTGCTCTCCCTGGAGAGAAAATGCGACAGCAACTTGTTTGCCTTTCCTTTTGCTGTATTCCCTGCTTTTCCCAGCTCTTGGAATGGAGTCAGAGTGATGTTTTCCTTTCTTTACAGCTGAAGACAACGTTGCAGGAAAGCTCCTGTCCTACAACCGAGCCAACAGGGCTGTGGCCATCCTGTGCAACCATCAGAGGTCTATACCAAAAACCTTTGCCAGGTCCATGCAAGTCCTCCAGGAGAAGGTGAGAGAGACCCAGCTGAGAGATCTCAGACCTAATCCAGCCTCTGAATTTGATTTTTGGGCTGGGGTGATACCTGAAAGAATCACCTTGGTCAAGAACACCAGGAAATGTCCTGGGGGCACTGGATTGCAACCCAGGAGTGGAGAGGGATATGGTCACCTCAAATGCTGGGGGAAGCAACTTAGCACAGAATTTGGGTGAGTTTTTATGAGTTTGGGGCATTTTTCATCATTCTGTCTTCAAACCAAGCTGGGGGCTTTTTGTGATGGCAGCTCTGGCCCAGTTGGATCAAGGTCAGAGAAATTGTTTTTTCTGTCTTTTTTTGCATGAGGAGTAGCTTGAAAATACCTTAAATTACCACTTTTAATTGTCCTCACTTTTTGCTCACACCCCACTGAAGGGCTGGGACTTTTTTGAGCACTCTGGTGCTGACACAAGTCCCTCCGTCTCAGGCAGGTGCAGAAGATAGACAGATTTAGGAGCTCCAAGTGTTTGTGGCATCTGGGCTGGGATGATATTTTAGAAGATGCTAAAAAATGCTAGAGCCCAGAAAATGCTGCAGGGACAAATTGGAAAGTAGTGTTGGTAACAAACTGAGGAATGGTATGTGAAGGAAAAGAGGGAGGAAGCTGAAACCTTCAGGGAGGTTGGAAGTGTTGTCTGACTTTTCCACCTTGACAGATTGACGCCAAGAAGAAACAAGTGGAGGAAGCCCAGGAGGAAGTGAAAAAAGCTGAAGATGAGTTTAAGGACACAAAAGAAGCCAAAGCAGAAGTGTGAGTGACTTTTCCTTGGAATCCTCTCTTGCAGAAGGATCCAGGGGCCCATGGATGGGGCTGATCTGTCCCCATCAGAATAGAAATGCCCATGTTTGGGATTGGGTCCTTCTTGTCCCATGGAAGTTTGGAAGATGGTTAAAATCTTGTGGATGTTTCCCTTCAGGGACACCTCCCACTCTCCCAGGTTGCTCCAAGCTCTGTCCAACTTGGCCTTGGACACTTCCAAGGATGGAACAGCCTCAGCTTCTCTGGGCAACCCATTCCAGGATGCTGGATTTTATTTGCCCACCTTTGATGGTGGAAATTACATTTTTATTGTTAATTTTTAATATTAAGAAAGCATCTCACCAGATCCAAACCCTTGAGAAATGGGTTAGTGCTGAATGACACCTTTGACTCTGCCATTCCAGAGAATTTCTGGGCTTTGGGACAGTCTTTGTTGTTCCTTCTCTGTCCTCAGGAACGTGGAGAAGAAGAAGAAGCTGTTGCAGAGGCTGGAGGAGCAACTGGCCAGGATGAACATCCAGGCCACGGACAAGGAGGAGAACAAGCAAATAGCTCTGGGCACATCCAAGCTGAATTACCTGGATCCCAGGATTACCGTGGCTTGGTAAGTCTTGGGTGTGAAACCATGGAATGGTTTGGGTTGGAAAGGACCTTAAAATTGGGGGTGTTCAATGGGCAGAGACACCTCCCACTGTTCCAGGTTGCTCCAAGCTCCATCCAGCCTGGCTTTGGAGACTTCCAGGGCTGCAGTGGAGAGGACCCTGCTGGGTAACTGGTCCCCACTGGTGTCTTGTGGTCTTCACAGGTGCAAGAAGTTCGGGATTCCCATCGAGAAGGTCTACAACAAGACCCAGAGGGAGAAGTTTGCCTGGGCCATTGACATGGCTGGCGAGGACTTTGAATTCTGAGCCGGTGCCTCCCACGTTAAATCCCAAATCCTGCTCATTTGGTGCTGTTGGGAAGCTGTTTTGTTTTTTTAATTTGCTGCTGCTGGTGGCTGAGGGTTGTCTGAGTTTGGTGCCATTTTTTTTTTTTTTGGATGGAAAAGCAAGCACCTGGATTTCCAGTTGAAGCAGGTATTGCTGATTGGGATGTTGGACTTTGGGAACTCTTTAATTCCTCTTCAGAGTTTCCATGTACTTGGCCTTCCCCTGGAGTCCTGGAAGGAGATTAAAAAAGAGCCTTAACTGTGCTGATCAACAAAATCATGTCTAATGCTGTCTTCTTGGTGTAGCTGTGCTGCCCTTTCCAGACTGAGTGGGATGGATGGGGAAACACGAGGTGATGACAGCAGGAAAACAGGAACTGCAATAGATAACCCAGGATTGCGTTAGGGATGCACTGGGGGCAAAGGAAAAATCTCAAGGTTTCACATTTCCAGGGACTTTGTGCTCTTTCACCTCCAGGAGAGGAGAAAGTTGTGCAATTGCAGGGATATTAAATGGAAAAACCATGGGAGAGAATTTCTGTCATGTCAGGAGAAGGTAGAAGGGAAGATTGGATTTAAAAGCAGTTTCACATTGCAGGGGGTTAAAATTCACCTTGGCCATGAACAAAGAGCATTTTAAGCACCCCCATGTGGTAAAATTTTGTCTGGGAGAACACATCTCACTTGAGGCCATGGTAATTTCCTTATTTTCTTCACTTGGCTCTGGCTCAGCTCCTGTATCCAGAGCAGGATTGCTCTGTCCAGACAGGGGCTTAGGAAATGGGGAATTTCCTAGGAAATAGGATAATGCTGGGCCAGGCTGTGTGGGATGTGTGGTGGGGAGTGGGACCAATATTCCTGGAGCTGCTCCTGTGTTGGGATGATGCCTTTGGCACCTTCCCACTCCAGCTGGGAATGGAGCAGGCAGGGATCAACAGCATAAATTGGTTCTGTTTGCTGCTTATTGGGCTGCTTTCCACATCCCCCCAAAAATGCAGTATCAGCACATTCCTGGCAGAATTCCCACATCCCAGTGAATCCCAGGTGTGAACAAACTTGGCATTGGCAGCAAAACCTTCCTGCACCTCAGGGCTGATATCCAGGGCTCTGTATTCCAAAGCTCCTGGTGCTTCCCCTGTGTTTATTTCCACTCATTCTTGTGTTGAAATAGTTGCTGTTTTGGTTGGAAATTGAGGTCTTGGAATGCATTAAAACCTCATTAAAACCAGGGGTGATTTTTTTTCTGAGTATCCGTGACTGGAGGCTTTTTACTAATCATTCCATGTGTGGTTCTGGGTGTTCCATCCCTGGAAGTGTCCAAAGCCAGGTTGGATGTGCCTTGGAGCAACCTTGGATAGGTGTCCCTGCCCATGGCAGGAGCTTTAAGGTTCCTTTCAATGCAAAGCATTCAATGCAAAGCATTCTGGAATTCTATAAAATAAAGGAGTAATTACAGAAAGGCTGAGCTGTTGCTGTCCCAAATAGTCCTGTCCATCCTCACCCTGTTTTTCCTGGAGTCCTCCAAGTGTTTCTGTCAATATTCCATGGACCTTTTCCATGGCCTAATGCCCAGGAGCTTTTCCTACTGCTCAGAACCCTGTGGAGCAGGATCATGCTCCCATCCCAGAGAGGAGGATCCCTCTCCCACCCCAATAATTTGGGGTTATTTGGTGGCTCCAGGCAATGCTGAGGGGCTCAGATGACCCCTCCTCACTTTGTCCCTTCCAGGCGTGGTTTCAGCTCTATTTTTCCAATGTTTTCCTGAAACATTGCACTCCATCCCTGGAAGTGCTCATTAAAAACCTCTGGAAATGGCACTTGAGGATATGGTTTAGTGGTGAACATGATGGTTGGACTTGGTGATCCTAAAGGTCTTTTCCAACTTTCTGTGGTGTTGTAGGCAGAGGAAAACCTGTTTGTTTTGGTAACCCAAGATCGTGACAGCATTTGGTGAAATTCAAAGTCAAAAGTTTAGCATTTTTTCCGTTGTGATTACTTCCTCTTTTTATTTAAAAAAGGGAGGTTGTGGTTTGTGACAAAATCAGAAATGACACCTTCCCATGTGATTTCTGGTTGCCTAATTTGCTTTTCATAAAAGCCTTCTTTTTCAGTGTGGGTGGGAGGGGACCTCACCCAAAATCTACCAGGGATGAAGGTGACTGCTCAGGCTGGTACTGGAATTTAGGGCTGTTCTAGGTGCATAATGGAGTTTTAATAAACAAACAAACAAAAACAACAACAACAACAAAAAAAAAAAACGAACAGAAAAGCCACAAAAAACCCCAAACAAATGAAAAAATTCCCAAAAACCATGTGAGGGTTGGGAAGCTTGTACCCTTCCTGCAGCCTGGGGATGTCCTACACTGATGGCTCTGGGCAGTGTTGATAGAGGAGCTGTTGGAGAAGATGAATTTAGGGGTGGGAGGAGGTGATGAGAAATTCCTCTTGTTTTGTTTTGGTATCTGCTGCCCCTGCCCAGGCTCTTCCCAGAAATCCAGGATTGAGAGCATTTCTGGAGGGCTCAAGTTCAACCTTCTGCTCAAAGGAGAGTCAAATCTGGCTGGGTTGTTCTGTGTTTTCTCAAACTGAATTTCAATGTTTCTGTGCAGGGAGATTCCTCCAGCATCTCTCACTGTTTTGGAAATGAATCACTGCCCTGGCAAAGCTTTTCCTTCCCTGTGTCTGGTTGGAGTTTCCCTTGATGCATCTTAGAAGCGGCTGCTTGTCCTTTGTGCAGAGCCAGAGCCAGATTATCCTTGGACATCCATAATTGTCCCTGTTAAAGGCAGCAACTCCATCCCCCCTCAGCCTGTCCTGTTGCATGGGATCACTCAGCCCTAAATTCTGGGACTTGGAACTTAAGGAATCATGGAAGGGTTTGAGTTGGAAGAGATCTTCAAAATCATGGAATTCAACCCACTGCCATGGGCAGGGGCACCTTCCACTATCCCAGGTGGCTCCAAGCCCTGTCCAACCTGGCCTTGGACACTTCCAGGAATGGAGCAGCCAAAGCTTTTCTGGGAAACCTGTGCCAGGGCCTCCCCACTCTCCCCGGGAAGAATTCCTTCCCAATATCCCATCTATCCCTGCCCTGTGACAGTGGGAAGCCATTCCCTGTGTCCTGTCCCTCCATCCCTTGTCCCAGCTTTCCTGGAGCCCCTTCAGGCACTAGAAGGGGCTCTGAGGTCTCCCTGGAGCTTTCTCCAGGCTGGACATTCCCAGTTCTTCCAGCTGGGTTCCAGCCCTTGGAGCATCTCCATGGCCTCCTCTGGATCTGCTCCAGCAGCTCCACATCCTTGTGCTGATGATCCCAAAATTGGATTCAGTGCTTCAGCTCTGGTGCCCCCAATCTGAGGACGGCTCTACAAGCAATTCCTCTTCCCACAGAAGCTGTTGGAGCAGCTGGAAGCTCCAATGGGATCCACCCCTGCTCATTGCTTCTGTATCCAGCATCCTGGAGCTTCAGGAACATAAATCCATTGGCCAGAGCTGTGCACATCACGAACCTGCCCACGTCTCTCTCAGAGGGATGAGTCAGAATCTTGCTCCGTGTCCAACTGATCAGTGGTCCTAATGGATGAAAAAAAGCCTCATCAGCCTCCTGTTTTCCAGAGCCACATTCCATACTTTCAGGTTGGCAGGGCTCCCCCCCTCCCCTGGCCCATCAGATGATCTAAATCATGGAATCCTTTAGGTTGGAAAAGCCCTTTAAGTTCATCAAGTGCGGCCGTTTAATTGCTGTGTTCACCACAAGTCGATGTCCCCAAGTGCCACATTTCCATGCCTTTTACATCCCTCCAGGAATGGTGACTCAGCCACTTTGGGAAAGGGAGCTCATCAGCTCTGCTTGGCTGCTCTCTCATCTGCTTAATGATGGGGCCTTCAGACTTGAGGAAAAGTGGAATTTCAGCTGATTTATCTTAATTAGTGCTGAGAGGGAAGGGGAGGTTATGGAGCAGTTGCTGCTCGGCTGCTGCAATCCCTGGAGTGATGGGATGAAGGGAAAACCACCCACCTGAATCCTGCCAGACTCATAAAATATGGGAAACCCTGGTGAGGTTTTGAGGAAGAAAAAGGTGAAGGATTTCCAGAGGGTTTTTCCTCTCTGCCCTTCTCCCCCTGAGGTCTGATGTTGCAAAAAAAATGAGGAAAAAAAAGGGAAATACAGAACAGAAACTTTGAAGGGAGTGTTTTGTCAGTTTGAGAGGAAAGGGAAGGACATTTGAGGCTGTGGCTGCTGTGATTCAGACGCTGTCTCCGAGCTCAGTGAATGGAGACGTTTCCTTTTCCAACCTTTTTTAGTGGGAGACAAGAGAGCGTGGCTGTGGTTTGGCATAAATAAAACATGTGCTGAAAGAGCTCCCTGGATTTCTGTCCCTTCACACTCAGCCAGGCTCAGATGGATGGAAAATCAGCCCCAAGTGCAGAGCCATTATCCCAGGCCACGTGTTGGGAAGCGCTGATGCCAAGGAAAGTGGCTGCAGGAGAGCAGCCTGGGAGAAATCGGATCCCTGGGTTAAATTGAAGGGCAGAGGAAAGGCTTCCAAGGAAGGATTGAAACTCCAGGATCTCAGGTTTTTGCCCTTTGAAAGAACTGACACTGGCTGTGGGGTGAGGGTGGCTGCACATCCTGGGTCTCCCACTAGGAATGAGTGGATAACATCCAGCCTGGCTCTTACTATCCCTATTTTTGGCCAGTGGACACCTCTGTTACTCAAAACAAAATAAAGAATCAGGAAAAGCTCAGCTGAGTTGTCCCAAGCCCTGAAATTGGCTTCTCCAGAATTTATTCCTGAGCCATTGCAGGCTGGGGCAGGAGAAATCCCAATAAATTACTTTGTTAATATTCTTAATCCAAGCTGGGATTAAGCTGTAATTGTGATTTGATTGGCTTGGCTCAGGAATCAGCTTTGGGATAAAGGTTCTCCCAGCTGCAGGGAGGCTCCTGAATTCCTTCTGCTGCTGTGAGCCTGGAAGGAAGAGGGATCATGGAATCATGGATTGGTTTGTGTTGGAAAGGACCTTTAAAATCATGGAATTCCATCCCCCTGCCATGAAGGGCCTTGCTCCAAGCCCCATCCAATACTTCCAGGGATGGGGGCAGCACATCTTTGGGAATTCCATTCCAGGGCCTTGCCAGCTTCACAGGGAAGAATTCTTTTCCAATATCCCATCTGACCCTGCCCTGTGGGAGTGGGAAGCCATTCCCCCCGTCCTAGTGTAAAAAGTGCCTCTTCCAAGTGAC